AAGTTTTAAAAAAATTATTTATGAAGCAGTCACACAGGATTTAAAGCCCACATCAGACTGATTTGTCATGATACTGACTGTCTTGAGTAAAAACCCCACAGTATTCCTGTTTGTTGGCTTTAAAATTACTTTGCACAAAGACATAAACTACTGCATATGTGAATGCATAGAACTGTGTCAAATAGAAAAGGAGCCAAACAAAGAAAATATTAAAATACTGGTTTTTTGGTATCCTTGGAGAATCTGTGGTAGTAACAAGGCTTATTGTTTCCTGTCTGAAGAAATATTACATATATGGGAGACAGATCTCTAAATATTTACACTGTGAAGATCTTGTTCTCTTGCACTAGCCCGAATCATAAGATTTTGAAGTTGAAATAGGTGTTATTTCAGATACTCACTCTCCCTGCCTGGCAGCAAGGACTCCATCAATCTCATCTGTGCTTGCTCATTTGGGAAGTATGTATTCAGGAGATGCAACACAAATGGATTCCTCTATCCTGGCAACACTGCAGCAGTCTCCGGTCTCCAACTGAGGCAATGATGGGATTGCAGGACTGTCTGCCCTGTAGTCATGAGCAGTGACCACGGTTAACAAGGTGCTGAATCCATCCAGTGATGACACAATTCCGATTCCAGCTAGCTGATCAATACAGTTAACAAAAAAATAGCAGGAATGTTAGGAATAACTACTGGGTAATTTTGCTTACTGTCCACCTGTGGTCAGTTGTGTGGTGGCTGAATTCTTAAATACTTGGTATTTTGTAAATCAGGTATATGATGAAATTTCTTTTCCCACTTTGAACAACTAAAGAACACAATCCATGACAATTATAAATTTCAGTGGTTTAATTTTAATTTCATAAACCTTAATGAGTATGAAAAGAAATTAAAATAATTAATCTGAGAATTCCATTTTCATGCTTAGACTGAGGCTCATGAAAATGAAAGAATGAGAAGTAAGTGTATACCTGAAGAAAACAGATAAGCGAAGACAAAGGGTGTAACAGGAAAATGTTCATATTTAAACCATTAAAAATTAATTTCAAACATACCTCTTCAGATGTGCTATGCCTAGTCTAGACCATCATTTGGATTGTTAACTGGTCAGTGACCACTTTATGCCGAGAAAATAACACTGTTATCTAAATTTCATTTTTTCTTCAGTTTCTCTTGTATAAGAAGAAAACTATATGGACTCAATTGAAAGAAGCTGTTTCACATGCTGTACTAAGAAGCAGCCCCAAAGACTACCAATTATTTAAAATGAACATAAGTTATTTAGTGCGGGCAAAACAACCAATTCACCAATAACAATAACACTATTTTAATTCTTTTTCAGGCTTGCTGATGTTGATTAGGTGCATTCAAACTTTGCAGCTCGATCCTTTTGGAGTTGCTTTTGCACACATTTTTAAGGCTAGAAAGCGACAAATCTGTATTCATAGCCTATGTGTTTTAAAAGTAGTTGGACTCTGTTCAAACATTCAGAAAATCATCTTTGAGCTGCGACTCATCATAGAAGACTTAATTCCTCAAGGAAATTGTTCTGGGAAAGTTATAAGCAGAAAGAACAATAATTTATAATGGAAGTTGGCTTGCAATATCAAACTCTCATCTCAAAAATGTTTACATATGTATCTCATTAAAGACAATCTAAGACTTCAGGATTGCACCAAGGATCAAGATACAGAGAGATTGTGGGCACCTTTGTGATGCTGTCCTGAAATGTGTGAGAGTTTACATGAAGGTTCTTTTCTGGAGGGAGCTCAGTTCAGGTAGTAAGATCTTAAAATATGGTCTTCTATCTGACTATCGGTTTTAAAAAAATAATATTATCTGAGTATCAGAAAAGGCAGAATCTTATTTAATTTTGTGTCAATTGCTCTGTAGTGTCTGTAAAAGGCCGTACAGCCATGGAAGGAGCCAGAGTTGCAAGTCTACCTTTCAGGTACCTGGAGACTTGAGCTGAAAGTCTGCATTCCAGATAAAAGGAATTAGGCTGCAAAAGACAGGGTTTTCTTAAAAGCCACCCCTATCCCCACACCAGCTGAGAGCTAGATAAGCCAGGTTAGGAGGGAGAGGCAATATGGAAGGGTGAAATTCAGTAGCAGGCAGCAAAAGCTCCCACTGTGTGTGTGACCTTGAATCCTCACCCTTTTCACAAAATGGAGCAAGAAAAGCAGCTTTTTAGTTCCTTGGTGATTAAACGCCACACACTAAACATGGGAGACTCAAATCTTCTCTCTGCCTGAAGGAACTAACATTTACATCTCCCACAAGAACTCTCTAATGACTCAGCTATGTGATATAATACCTTGGACTCTCACAACTTTTTCCTGTTGAAGCTCTTTCACTCTTCCTTATGTGCTTAAATATTCACTGCAGCAAAAACCAAGCCCTGTGCCCTGTTGACTGTCCTAACCAGCAGGCTTCATAGTCAGATTACAATATTAGCCTGAGCCCACCAAGTCTTGCAAACTTGATGCACTCCATGCTACCTAGGGCAATTTCAAGCAGTGATTTAGGACACTTCCACCAGCTCATGGCTGCCTCTGTTTGAAGACAAGGCTGTGTTGCCAGGAGGTGGGAAAACGAGCAGCTCTCCAGGTACAATGCATACCCTACTACCAGGCTGCTGGAGAAACAGGGGAAAGGGTGCAAGTCTGTCCCCCTCTCCATAGTAACTCGGGTATCGTGCTCTGAAAGTATGCCTGGGGAGGGTTCTGCTGATAGGAGAGGGTTCCACTGATGGGAGAGGTAGTGTGATGTTGATGGTGCAGATCCATCAGGTTTGTGCGGCCATGAGATACCTGCTAGGCAGCTCTCTGCAAGCCAACAGGTATGCAGGATGTGAAGGAAAATATCCTGGCAGATATGTGCGCATCGAGTGTCCCCAGAGATTATCAGATGGCTGTTGCTCCACAAAGAGGAGAAACTCCATTTGGGATGGGATGAGAGCAGCCCCACAACAGCAGGCGTGCCAAGCTTCGCCGCCTGGCTCTGAGGATGCCAGCACTGAAACAGAGAGGGAAGGTCGGCTGATTTCACCTCAATCCCACTTAGCTACTTAGAAATACTTTTGAACGGCACCTTTTTCTTTTGGATCAGTGCTTCAGAGCGGTTCCTCTCTAGCTTTCATCTGAAAAAGCTCCTCCACACACGCAGACACGCACACACACACACATAGAGACGCCGCTTGTGGATGCAGATGAATGATTCCACCTGACCCGGCCGCCTCCGGGCATCGCTCCCCCCACCACCGGCGGTGCCGAGAACGCCTGCGGGGTGGGCGGCGGCCATTTCGGAACGTGAAGGGACTCACCGGCGGCGACCCCCGCCGGGCTGGATGGAGAGGGGGCACGGAGCGAGCCGCCCGAGGCACAAAGGGGAGGGCGGCCCCGAACTAGGGAGGTGCACACGCACTCCCGCTTCCCTCCCCGTGCGCGGGGGGAAGGAACGGGCAGGAATATTCTGGACCGAGGGAGGGGAGGAAGGAGAAGGGGATGAATAACTTGAATAAATCTGCAGCGGAGCTGAGAAGAGGGGGAGGGAGGCGGCGGCAGGTCATGTGAGGCACAGTCATGCTGCAGGCAGAGAGGGGGCACCTGGGGGGAGGGGGGGGAGACGACACGAGGCTGCCTAAGGGGGCGGCTGCCCGCCATGGCTGTGGCCACAGCCTCGCCCCCTCCCCGGCCGGGGCACCCCCGCCCTGCCCGGGTTCGGCGCCGCTCGCCCATTTCCGCCACGCGAGCCGAACCCCATTTCCGCCGGCCCCGGCCAGACGGGCTTTATGTCTGCCGGCGGGGCGCGCGTGCGCGGCGGCCGCCGCCATCTTACGTTGTCTCTCGCCCGCCCTCCCCTTTGGCGAGCTTTCCCCTCCTCCCCCCCGCGGCGCCTCCTCCGGCGCTCCGTGAGGAGACGGGGCCGGCACGGGGAGGGAGAGACTCGCGGCGGCGGGGAAGCTGGGAGTAGACCCCGAGGGAAGAAAGGACGGGGCGGACGCGCACACGGCAGGAGGAGGACAGATTCCAGGCGCGGTTCTGCGGAGGACCAGCGGGTGCCGCCTGTTATAAAGGGGGAGGAGGCGGCGGAGGGGGAAGGAAGAGCGTGCAGAGCGGAGCCTCCTCCAGAGACAGCCAGACACAGAGGGAGGAGAGAGAGGCTGCCTGGCTGGCTCCCCCTTCCTCCCTCCCTCCTTCCTTTTCATGGACTCTCGTGTCGGGCTGCTGCTGCTTTTCTTCCGTCCTTATTCCATCTGTCTAATACCCAAAATGATTCAGCTCCATGGCTGCCACTGACGGGGATGTCCCTGCCCGGCTCAGCGTGCCGCTGCCGCCCTGCTGTGCGCCAGTCCTGTACGTATCCGCGCCTTCCTCCTCCTCCTACTTAGCAGCGGTGATGGCGAGGGGCGCCGACCGCCTCGCCGGGCTGCCCTGAGGGCCCGCCGGCTGCCCTCGCCCCGCCGAGCCGGGCAGGGAGGGAGGGAGGCAGGGAGGGCGGTGCTGCCGGCGAGCCGCGACGCCCGGCGGAGCCTCCGCGGCGAGGAGGAAGGGGCTCGCCCTCGGGCGGCCGGCTAGCTGCCCCCCGGGAGAGGCTACTCGGGGGGCTGGGGAAGTGGGTGGGGGAGGGGGATAGAGGGCGACCGAGGAGGGAGGTGGTGGTGGAAATCAAAAGCGGGGGGGGGCGGGTAGGGAGAAAGAAAGTGAATGGCGGAGGATTGAAAGTGTCACATTCAGAGGCGGCGGAGGACCGGTGCTTGCTCCCTCCCTGTCTCGGAGAGGAGGAGGAGGGGAGGGGGGTGTTGGGGGTTGGCGGTGCCGAGCCGCCTCAGCCCGTGCGCTGCGGGAGCCGGGGGGGTTTTTGCGTGGTGGTGTCTCTCTGCCCTGCCCTAAGCGGAAAGCTAACTGTGTGTGTGTGTATGTGTGTGTGTGTCTGTCTCTCTCCATACCGGGGGATTGCACTCTTAAAATACACCCGATACAATGCACCAGCCTGACTCAGCCGCAGACATTAGTGCTAGGAAGATGGCGCACCCGGCGATGTTTCCTAGAAGGGGCAGCAGCAGTAGCAGCGGCAGCAGCTGCGTTACTGCTCCCACTGCACCAGGTACCGGCGTTGGGAGCGCTGCCCTCTCTGCCGAGGATTATCAGCCGCCTTTGCTGGTCCAGCCACCGCCTCCATCTCCTGCAGCAGCTTCATCAGCGGGTCCACAGCCGATACCCCCTCCTCCACAAAGCCTGAACCTCCTCTCGCAGTCTCAGCTCCAACCACAGCCTCTTGCACAGACTGGAGCTCAGATGAAAAAGAAAAGTGGCTTCCAAATTACCAGTGTGACCCCTGCTCAAATATCAGCTAGTATGAGCTCTAATAACAGCATAGCCGAGGATACAGAAAGCTACGATGACCTGGATGAGTCTCACACTGAAGACCTGTCATCTTCAGAGATCTTGGATGTGTCTTTATCCAGGGCCACTGACTTGGGAGAGCCTGAGAGGAGCTCCTCTGAAGAGACTCTAAATAACTTCCAAGAGGCAGAGACTCCTGGGGCTGTTTCTCCAAATCAGCCTCATCTTCCTCAGCAGCATGCTCCTCTTCCTCATCACCCACAGCAGAGTGTTGTGATCAATGGAAGTGTTCATCCCCATCACGTTCATCATCACCACCATCTTCACCACCACCATCATGGACACCATCATCCATCGCATCCTGGCGTAGGTAGTGCCCCTATTTCTGGAGGACCACCGCCCAGTCCATCTTTTAGAAAACTATCAACAACTGGAAGCTCTGACAATGTTATATCAACTGCACCAGTTTCTGCTGCATCATCCACTGGTTCCCCGGCACCTGCCGTGTCTAATATACGCACTACAAGTACTCCTGGCAATTTAGGTGTAAGTCCTGCTACTGGAACTAGTACCTTAAATAATATGGGTGGTGGTAGTTCTAGTGTGGCAAGCAATGTGCTTGGTACTATAAATTTAAGCAACATCACGAGTACTGGTAATGTAAATGCTTTGTCTGGAACTAGCAGCAGTGCTAATGTGAATATCTTGAGTGGTGTTGGCAATGGTACGAGTGCTTCCTCTAGTGTCATTAACAATGTTACTAATCCAACTGCAGGAATGGCAGCGGGATCAAGCCCGCAGCCGGCTGCATCTGGCACGTCAAGGTTTAGGGTTGTAAAATTAGATTCTAGTTCTGAACCTTTCAAGAAAGGTAGATGGACATGCACTGAATTCTATGATAAAGAAAACACTGTTGCAGTTTCAGAAGGAGTAGCAGTAAACAAAGCAGTAGAGACGATAAAACAAAACCCGCTTGAAGTGACTTCTGAAAGGGAGAGCACCAGTGGGAGTTCTGTTAGCAGCAATGTAAGCACACTGAGTCACTATACAGAAAGTGTGGGAAGTGGAGAAATGGGAGCACCTACTGTGGTACAGCAGCAAGCGTTTCAAGGTATGGGTCCACAGCAGATGGATTTTAGCAGTGCTGCTCCTCCAGCAATTCCAGCATCTAGTATACCACAGAGTGTTTCTCAATCACAGCTTGCACAAGTCCAGCTGCATTCTCAAGAAGTAAACTATCCACAGCAGAAGCCAGGGGTCCAACCCCCTGCACAGGCCAGTCTAACCACTGTTACTGGGGTTCAGCCAGCCCCGGTTAATATACTAGGTGTATCCCCATCCCTGGGCCACCAGCAACCTGCCATTCAGAGTATGGCTCAACAGCAGCTGCCGTACTCCCAGCCGGCGCAGCCTGTGCAGACTTTGCCAGTGGTGCAGCAGCAGCAGTTGCAGTATGGACAACAGCAACAACAGCAGCAGCAACAGCCGGTTCCTACGCAGATGGCCGGAGGTCACGTTAAGCCGGTGAACCAAAACTCTGTCACGGGGGCTATGCCGGACTACATTCAACATCAGCAGATCCTTCAGACTCCAGCCCCTGCCATGCAGCCAAGTTCTACGGGAGTAGGAGCTGGGCAGCCGGTTCCTGTTGCCCAGGCACAGGGCATGCAGCCTTCAGTGCAAGCACATCCAGCTGCTGCCCCAGCTCAGCCTGTTGCTCATGCTCCAGCAGCAATACCAGGTGTAGCTGCCAGTGGTCAAATGCTGAATGTTGGGCAGCAGGGAAGCGTAGCTGCTGTGGTGCAACCACCCTCTGCTGCAAACCAAATTCCACCTCCAGTTATGCCGTCAACGGCTGCTCCTCCATCTTCCCAAGTAGTGCAGCCTGTGCAGACAGGAATAATGCAGCAGGGATTACAGGCTAGCGCTTCAGGCCTTCCTCAGCAAATGGTCATTGCTCAGCAAAACACCTTGTTACCTGTACAGCCGCAGGCACAAGGAGTGGAATCTGTAGTCCAAGGGATGGCTGGCCAGCAGCTGTCTGCGGTTAGCCCTATACCCTCAGCTAGTACTGTTCCTGCAGCAAGTCAAGCTGGTTCAGCTGTGCCTCCTGGCATACCTTCTGCTTCTGTAGGTTTGGGACAGCCACAGAATATAGCACAGGCTTCGGCTGTGCAGAATGGCAATTTGGCTCAAAGTGTTAGTCAGCCTCCCTTGATATCAACAAGTATAGGTATGCCAGTGGCACAAAGTGTGCCACAGCAGATGCCACTAAGCTCTACCCAGTTCCCCGCACAATCACTAGCTCAGTCCATTGTAAGCCAAATTGAAGACGGCAGACGCCCTACAGAACCTTCGTTGGTGGGTTTACCTCAAGCTGCCAGTGTCGAGAGTGGTGTTGGAGCATCAGCTGTTTCAGATGGCGGTAGCAGCAACATGCCATCGTCTGCATCCCTCTTTCCACTGAAGGTGCTGCCGTTGACGACGCCTCTCGTAGATGGTGAGGATGAGAGGTAAGACTGCCTGTAACATCATTAAAATATGAACTGTCTGATAGTTTCATTTACAGTAACTTGGAGGTTTTGTTACAGCCATTCGGTGAAATGAAGCTGAGTGATGTTTGTGTCTAATTAGAAATATGGTTTCTCAGGTCCCAGCACGTGTAGGTATTATATTAAAGAACTTGTTTTTCTCTTGAGGGGGTGGGTTGTATTGATTATCCTCTGAAACTACTGCGTGGGTAAATTGTGTTTAATAATCTGTGACAGTGTGTATATTCCCATTGTACAGGGCAAGACAGAAGAATAATGTGGAATGTGGGTATGCAAGTGGTGATTATAGTTTATTTATTATACTGAAATAATTAATATTTATTCTTAGGTAGATTTTTTTTTTTCCACAAGCCTAGAGTCCATCCTGCCTCAGCTTCTCTATTTTAAGTATTGACTTTACTAAGGTTGAACTAGTTGCGGGCCTGTGGTGTAAGTAAAGTCTTCTCTTTGCCAGCCGGGAGATGCTTTAGGCAAATGAGTATGGTGGGGAAAGGGAAGTTCATCAACACTGTTGTGGCTCTTTAAATTGAACTCAGGCCACTTTTGATCTTGATGGTTTTGCTTCAGAGCATTAATCCATGGTGTGAGCTGCTCAGGCCTGTGGAGGGGTGGTGAGCCTTTGAATCTGGTGCACCAGTTCTGTGCAGAGTAAGAAAACTGCTCACTTTCTCCCACCTTCACCTGTTCAAACTATGGGTGTTCTCCCACCTTCACCTTTTCAAGTAAATGACCACTGGCTGGTCTTAGTAGTACGTACATGTGAATATTCTCATTTCTTTGATAGTGTATGCAGAGATATTGTATCAGTTGTGAAAGGCTATTTTGTGTATAGCTGAAGGGATCCAGACATCAATTCTGAAGTGTGATTTTTTGATATTACTTATGTGTGGAAATTACTCAATGTATTGAGGACCTCTTATGATATGGGTTTGCAAGTGGACAGAAAGACTGGTGCTTCTCCCAAAGAACTTCTTGTCCAAGAAACTACAATAAGGGGGGAACTAACTTTTAAGATAAATAAGCAGCCTTAGGAACGTGTGGGAGAACAGAAAAAAATATTAGAAAAACCAAGCTTCCAGTGAGGAGACAAAATAAGATACTAAACACAAGGTGGGAAAAATGCTTTAGCAATGGGAGGTGAAGTACTTAAATGTCTTCTTGGTGCCATAACTTAGGTATATTATCATTGGCCAGACTTTATTTTAAAAAAATAATAAAAAAACCCCACAACAGGTTGCTGAGAAAGGCTAGATTATTTTCCTAATATTAAAGACCCTAACTCTATCAGCAGTCTCTAATTACGTTGATCATGAGGTGTTAACTGCCTTAGTGACTTTCATCACGTCTGTCTAAGATATGAGAGAACTACAGTGAGTAGCAGCTTGTCTTCCAGGAGTGCTAGAAGACAAGTTCCAACAGTTGCATTCTGATTATGTTTTTTTAGTCAATAAGTACATGAAGGTGGTAGAAGACAGATTGAGGTGTTAAAGTTGACAGTGTAACTAACCATTGTGCTGCTGGCAGTCAGTTTTCTCAGAAATGTTTTTTAGTTTTCTTTCATTTGAACTTTCTAAACTAAGACTCTAATACATTTGTTTATGGGTCCCACTTGTCTTTGATGGTGTGATTTGTTTTTGTTGCTGTGTGGTGTTTGTTTTTTGTTTTAGTGTTGGTTTTTTTACCAAGTAAAAAAACCCCCTTAACTTTCAGGGGATCCCAGATGAGTAAGGGAATCATAAGCTCATTGATACTCATCATTTTGGAAAATGACATCTAGCATGTGTCTGTACCCTGATTTTAAGAGCATATGCTAGCAGTTTGTCATGATTGGTAGTTTTTCCAGAATGTTTAAATCCCTCAGGGTAACAATAGCCAGAAATACCTTCTTCCTCTGTTACTTGGCTAGACAAAGATCATATCCTTTCTTCTCCCATGCACATTGCGTCTTTGTTCAATCTGTCATCTCCAGGTACACTACACTTTTGTTTAGCTGCAGTTGGAAAATCATTTAGATTCTTTACACAGAGCAGGATATGACTCTGTTAAATGGAGACCAAAAATAATTGTGGTTTTTTGCATTACAGTAGTGGCTAAGTCATTTTTGTGTACTGTCAGACGCTTCACAGCAGCCCTTCTCCCTGCATATCTGTATGTAACATTAAAAACCTAGTGAGATCACCTCTGTTTCCACTTCCAGGGGATCTCAGGACAAGGTACTTGTATTGTCATCTCGACTGGAATTTTGATCTGCAGCTTAGATTTCGTTACTTACTAAAGGTAGTGCAAGATACATTATTTTGCTGCTTTGACCATTAGATATCTCTAATTAGAGGTTTTTTTCCGGTTTATTGGATTACACTCTGTTTACAGGAGGTAAAGGGTAGTGTGTTTTAAAAGTACATAAAAATTCAAGAAACAGACATACTGTAAATACGTGTGTTTAAAATCTGTGTTTCTGTGTCTCGTCTGCACACACACATCTATCATTGAAGATTTCTATCAATACATCCCAAGTGATTCTAAACCTGGCAAGGGAAAAGGTAGCAGAAAGAAGTGAGCGATGACATAATTGGGCCAGCAAAGAAGCTGTAAAATTCCATTTAGTGTGCCTTTGAAAAAACATCTGACCCCTGTAATACCCTGTATAGATTAACTCCCAGCTTTTCTTAAACCTGTATATAATTGCGTTTAAGGACGCACCAGTATCTTTAAGTCTTTAGTCTGTTCAGTTTTTAGAACACCATTTGCAGCTCTTTCTATGCCTGTTATCAGGGCACGGCCTTTTAAATATAGACAGTGTGGAGTGTATCTGCTTTGAGAACTGTAACCTTTTATTTCCCCTGTGTGAATGACTTTTATTTCAAGTCCTAGTGAAGATCAGAAAAAAGAGATACTAAAAATGAACTGCTTGGCAGAATCTGTGTGGAAAATTCATTTGGAAACTTTATTTATTAAAGAGAGGATACAGATAATACTCTGTAGTTTCTGTATTTAAAGAAAACCAAAACAAACCACCAAGCAAAAAACCCAAATCCCCAGCAAACCTACCAAACATTAGTAGTTCTTCCAATTAGTCTTTCTTTGGCCTGTTGGGTATGCCATAGGTGTTTGTATGTTGGTAGATTCGTCATCTCTTTTACTTTTTCCATCTACAAAAACGCAGGCCAGGTTTTTGGTTGTTAATTTTTTTTTTTTTCTTGGCTTGAAGCATGGTATGGATTCAGTACGTGATTCTCATAATTTCTTGGTTTTGCAGCAGTTACCTTGATTTATTCAGTTCAGTTATTAAATCCTGTCAAATTTAGACATGGTCTTTTGAGGTTAGTATTTCATCTTTAGAACTGTGGAAGAGGATTTCTTTTATTTTTATGCTTTTGAGACTTAAGCATGGAAAAATGCATGTTTATATCACAGTGAATTTTTTTTGTGTATTTATACTTAGCGTTTCAGAATAAGTTTTACATCTTTGTAGACAGTGCTCTATGCTTTACTATGCTATAGGTGCTTGCAGTAAGATTTTGTACAGACTTATATTATTCTTAAATTATCTGTAAAGTGAAAAAAGTTTATTTTACAGCATTTATAAAGGCTGCTGAAAGTGAATTTAAAAATAACTTAATCTGAAATGTTGTTTACCATTACTAAAAAGCAGATTTTGTGAATGAAGGATAAGAGAACTAATAACTGCCTCCCTGTCCTTGATGGCATTTGCTGTAGAGTTGTTTGCATTCTTTAGGCTGGTGCAAGTTGCGTTCACCTGTTTTTTCATTTCATCCAACAGCAAAGCAAAAGAGAAAGGAGGAAAAGACCATGCTAATCACATAAAAAATATTCTTTATTATGTTACAATCTTGTGATTTTTTAAGAGAAACTTTTATTAAAAGATCCCTTTAGAAATGTTTTCTGTGTAGGACATATGTTTTGGCTGGTTACCAAGCCTGTGGAGAGGCTGGAAGATTAAAGTTGAATGTGAGAACTGAACGACCTGTGAGCAGCCTTTGAGAATCTCTAGTAGTAGTAACTAGTCCTAGATTGTAAAGCAAGAATAAAGTCAGGAAACTGGATTAATTTTCATCATGCATGCAACTATGTAACGGGAAGGCTGATAAGGTACAAATGAGATTTTTACAGATATAATCAAACACTTTTTGAAGATTTTAATAAGTAACAGTGAATGAACATATTAAAGTAGAACTGGAAATTTCAATGATATTTTTGATGTGGTAACTATTTTACATACTTGTGTTGATTTTGTAAGCAATTTTAGTTTATATGGGCTTTTTTGTTTACTGAAAGTTTTGCTGCTGTGTATTTGAGAAAGGGAAAAGATCCTTTACAACAAAGGATTTATGGTGGATTAGCATAGATTTATGGTGGTATTTTTTTAATTGCATCCTAGGGGCAGTGTTATTTTCTGTTTTGCAGATTTTAAACTTGCTTTGTAGTCTTGTCACCATTTTAAAAGCTGCATGGTTTGAATTCTAGGAGATTAACTGTTAAAAAAGTCTGTTCATATCTTCAATTTAGCTTTTATGGAACTTGGGAAAATTGTTAACTTCAGTGGTAAGTCAAATGAATAAAAAAAGAGCACTTTGGTGAAGAAAATGTGCTTGCTGTTGTCATGCTGATAAGTCCAGTTTCTCATTTCATCTGATAAAATACCTATTGTTGGTGGAATTGACTTTGTTCTTTACTCAGTGCAGAGAGCTAACAATGAGGAATTTAGGGTCTACACCTTGTATGTCTGCTGACCAGCTGCATGTGGCAATACCTGTTTTGATGGACCTTTTCCTGATGTCTTTTATAGATGCATTTTCTGCATGCCATGATATCCTTTGAACTAAGGATTGCTACAGTGCTTGGTATTGAGTTGTCTTTCAAGACAGGAAGAACGAAAAGATACCAGAGGGTTGTAAAAGCAGTAATTTGGCACTTAAGATAAGGCAGATGCTGAGAAATTA